CATCTTATTAATTTACTCAATGGACAAATTAGATATTTTCTCTCTTTTGAAGGACACACGCACACACATATATATAAACAGGACAAATAGAATTAATATATAATCCCATAGACCAACCCCCCCCATCCATATTTCTCAACCACACAAAATAAACATGCTTGCAGAAGAGTTGAGGTCTCCCACATACACACATCACGCCCCCCCCCCTGCCAAAAAAAATAAAAGATAACATATACATCCCCTTCCCAGCAACCAATAAAGCTATCAGAATGACTAAGGTAAATCTGAGACTCAGGAATCTCCTATCCTCTCCTTAAAATACTTGAAAGAGGCCATTTGACCAATACAAGGACTGACTAAAATTAATGATAAAAAAAACGAATGAAAATTCCAAAGTTCACTTTCTCCAGAAATAGTCATTCAACCCTGTAGTTCACTCCTACTAACAAGCAGGAATTTTTTCTGCTGATGAAGGCCATGCTGGCCGAAATTAGTCAAGGAACCTAATTTAAATAATAAAACAAAAAATATTAATATACAATGCAGTGTGTCTGAAATTTTAATTTTTTAATATTTTTTTATTGTTTAAGACATATAGATCCAATATAGATCAGTTTCCAACAGAAACTTTTATAAAAAATCATACATAAAGAATCTAAGATGTTTACTTACTACTATTACTACAACCAGTGTTACATGACTTTTTTAACCTCACACAAAACATCCCTGAATTAACATGTGGACAATCACCAAACAAATAAAAATGCCTACTAGATATACACTCACTTGCACAAATGAATATAAATCATCATCTGAATCACACATAGACAAACTAGAATTATGATTCTCTTAAATACATAAATTATACACAGAAACATTGCTTGACAAGACAAAGTCTGCTTTACCAATGAAAAACAAACATATGAATTAAAAATACCGAAATCTTTTCTCTTTCTTTTTCTACGCCATATTTCATTCTTTGGTGAAGCTTTATTAAAAGATACACATGTTAGATTTATAAATGTTTTGTATTTGTTTTTTATCATATATATATTTATATATATATATATGCACGGTACTTATTGGAAAGTGCTCAATATCAGTGATAGAGCTAACATATTTAGTTGGATTGATGTAAGTTTGTGTCCCTGGGCTTCATGACTTTTGTGATTGTTGTCTGACGATCACAAAGGTTGTGAAACTCAGTCACAAACTCACATTAATCCAATTATATATATATATATTTGAATTTATACAAATATCTTGAAAGATTATGAAAGAAATGACAAGAGTAAAACCTATTAGGTCAGTGTGTTTTGTTCCTTGAGGAACTTTACTTCTGTGTATAAATGAAGGTTAATAAATAAAATTTTTACAGTTGCCTTGATAAAGTTTCTCAAGGAATAAAACCAGTTGGTATAAAAGGCTTTCATCTTGTCATTTCTTTCATTAATATATACATGGTGGACTCTCCTATCATTAATGATAAATGAGGTTCAGCATTGGATGGTGCCTTTTGTTTTACACTTATGCATGCTAGCAGGGGCTATTGTGGAAGAAAATCAGGTAAGGGAAAGACATTTCATTCATGCTTTCTTAAGTGTGATACTAGTCCAGCCTTGCTGCAGGTGACAAAGCCATACTGACAGATGAAATTTGTTAAAGCAGGATTTTGACGGCATATCTGCTTCAAAGCTTGATGATGCTGATCACAGTGCTTCAGTCTACTGTCTTCAAAACCCTTTAACTTAATGAAATATGTCTTACACCACTTGTTTTGGTTTGATGCTTGGACTTCCCAGGTTTTCAGATCAAAGTTGAGACATTTCAAGTTGTCTTTCAATTTGTCTTTGTAGTGTAGGAGTGGATGTCCAACTGAACGCTTGGAGTTTGTTAGTTGTCTATACAGCATCTTTTTTGTAAGTCTATGCTCATCCATTTTCACAACATGACCAGCCCACCAAAGTTGATTCTTTGTGAGAATGGATTCAATGATGGTGATTATATATATATATATATATATATATATATATATGATCGAAATAAAAGTATAAAATTTAATATTACAAGACATATTAAAAAGTAATGGCGCTTAGACACTAGAATAAAGCAACACGTTCCTACTAAAATTAGGAACCACACCCTGCCTACGAGTGGACTCGTCCGAACACCTACAGTTCCGGCTTTATCAGAACACCTTTTTAAATAGCAGAGATTGTGCCGCCAAATTTAGTGTATACTGGTTCACCGTGTGTTTTTGGTCACACTCTGTATTTCATCTGAAGGTTCTGAGGCACTTTACATCGGGTCCCTTTCTTTGTGAAAACAACGTGAGTGTTTGCTGGGGCTCGCTGTCATCTGCCTCTAGTTCCTTCTTGCATATATACGAACATATATATATATATATATATATATATATATATATGTTTTAATTTTTTTTTTTTTCTTTCCCACCTGTTCTTACTGTACATTTCTCTGTTTTAATTTTCAATCTCCCGTGGAAGCCTGATGAGCGGAAGCGAAACCGGTTGCTCCCCCTTGTTGTTGAGTTTTTTTTTACATATTATTATTTAATACTTTTAATATGTCTTGTAATATTAAATTTTATACTTTTATTTCGATCATTAAATTTTGTACCTACAAAGATATCTTTAAATATATATATATATATATATATATACACTACTAGTAATACTTGGTTGGAAAAAACCTCGGATAGCACAACTTGTAAATCTATCAAAAAGAATTGGAAAAAAAAAAAAAGAACTAGAAACATCTGAACAGGGTGAAATAAATCATCCAGTGCCTTACTTTTTTAGTCCAAAGAAAAAAACCCATGTGAGTAAAAGCTAAAACAGAGAGTGCTCAATATGCTATGTAGACCAGGGATAAATGGAATAAATCCTAAAGAGCCAGGAACAAGAACAACAAGAATGTGTCATTTATAAAGTTGAAATACACAGAAATAAACATAATAGTAGTAATAAAAATGTTACATTTTACATAGGATCCACCCAAGGTAATTTCAAAAAGCGTTACTACAATCATTTAAGTAGCTTTAAGCATAAAAATTGCAAACACAGCACTAGCCTGTCTACATACATATGTTATATTAAACCAGAAGATGGTATTGACTCCATCTTAAAATGGGAAATACTAAAAAAATGTCATAAGTATAAAGCAGGGGACAGGTATTGCTTATTATGTATGGAGGAAAAATTAGCAATAGCCACCTCCGATGAACCTAATAATTTTTTTTTCAAAGATCTGAGATTTTAAATAGGTGTAAGCATAGGAAATCCTGGTTATTGGAATAGAGGCTCTGTTTTTTTTTTGTTTTTCTTCTTCTGTCATAACGTTAATGCTAATTAGTTTTTAGTGGTTTTATCAACAAATACTGTTTCATGTGATTTCCTTGTTAGCCAGCTTACCCTGAAGATCCGTTTACGTGAAACCTAGGTAGGTTGTTCCTGGCTCTTTAGGATTTATTTCATATATATATATACATACATACATACACCTTTATGATAATTTTATCATATAGACAAAACCATTTTACTCACTACAAAGATGCAACTTGGTTTCAGTGCATTTCAACTGCACTTCGATGGGTGAGAATCGAAAATGGTTATTACTCTACTATTGGTATCAAGCCCTCTTTTGGATTAATGCTGTGAACATGGATTTTATATATTACTTCATTTCTCATCACGTCGGAGATATATATATATATATATATATATATATATATATATATATATTTATTTATTTAAAGCTCTGCACATTCAATTTTTAGCGTTGTGTATAGACCATTTTTTAATACAACTATCCCCTGGTCGGACTCAACTCTGACCAACGATCAGGTAAATATAATATTTGAAATAGTTCAGCACTTTTAATTTACATGTGTTTGCCACACTTTTTTGAAAAGTTTAAGTAACCAATGTAGTTTAACACCTTATACATATTTGTGCAATTTGCTTCACTGGTACTTTTTGCACACACAGTAGTTAATGAATTGGAGGAAGAGCCAAGATGCAAGAGTTTAAAATACCGTACTCACTAAAAAAACATCCCTATTCCCAGCAAGTATAAATGCATGCTAATTTTATTGCAGAGAATTGAAAAATTCATTGCCAGAATGAGATGGAAAGCATTGCTTTCATTACATAGATACATAAAGTGTTAGGAAAACATGGCAAAATTTAAATTCAAAACCCGGAGATATAGTTTTAAGGTATGCTATATTTATGAGCTAAATTGCTCAATATCAGGGATAGAGTGTATGTAAATATAAAAGTAGACATTGAAGTCAACATGCAGCAGCAAGAGTCTGTTTCATATTAAACGCAGTTGTCAGGCCATGGCCATGAGGATTGTGTTTACCATGAAACAGAATGTTGCCTTTGGGTGTTATATAAGAGAAGTTATTTATTTATTCATTAGTTTAGGCTATTATTCTCATCTTTGATGGCTGATGAAAGGTTTGAATTGTACATAATCTAAGGAATAATAATAGTATGTATCAAAAGTATTTTCATTTTTTTTTTATAACCCTTTATTCCAAAGCTTATTTCATGTACACATTTAAAAACTATTAATGATTTCACTATATTAGTAACATTATCATTATTATTATGCATATTATATTATCAATATTATTCAACTGTACTTTTTGTATCAGGTGATATAATGGCAGATGCAGATACATATATTCTTGCCATTTTCAGCTATTATTTAAAACTGAACAATAAAACTACTGATCCTGCTCACAGAACTGAGAAAGTTGAAGGAAATGAAATGACATGGCCAGAACTGTTTGAAGTGTGGTGCTTTGTTACTTAAAATAAAGCACAGAATTTGCACTTTAAAAGCCAAGGTAAAATATAATTTGACCACCAACATTTGAAAAAAAACTTTCAGAAGACCTACAAGCATTGAAAGATACCATATGTAGAACATTACCAGTACTGTATATAAGCTTGAAAAAATTAAAATTCTTAAGATGTTAAAAGGAAAATACTTTGGACATATTCCAAGACAAGGAAACAAAAAGAAAAAAAGGAAGAGTGACAGAGAAACAACAGAAAGAAGGGAAGGTGACAGTAACAACAGAAAGAGGGGAGGGAAATAAGAACAGAAGAGAAGAGAAGAGACAGAGACAATGAACAGAAGAAAGAGAGGAGAACAACATACATGAAATGAAAGATGGGAGAGGAAACAAAGAAGAAAAGAAAGAGGAGAGAGGAAACAAAGAAGAAAAGAAAGAGGAGAGAGGAAACAAAGAAGAAAAGAAAGAGGAGAGAGGAAACAAAGAAGAAAAAAAGAAAGAGGAAAAGAAAGAGGAGAAAACAAAGAAGAAAAGAAAAAAGGAAACAAAGAAGAAAAGAAAGAAACCTAAGGAAAAAAAGAAGAAAAGAAAGAGGAGAGAGGAAACAAAGAAGAAAAGAAAGAGGAGAGAGGAAACAAAGAAGAAAAGAAAGAGGAGAGAGGAAACAAAGAAGAAAAGAAAGAGGAGAGAGGAAACAAAGAAGAAAAGAAAGAGGAGAGAGGAAAAAAGAGCAGAAGAAAGAAGGGAGACCAACAATGAACAGAAGAAAGAAGGGAGGGCAACAAAGACAAGAAGAAAGAAGGGAGAGCAACAAAGAACAGAAGAAAGAAGGGAGAGCAACAAAGAACAGAAGGGAGAGCAACAAAGACCAGAAGAGAGAAGGGATAGCAACAAAGACCAGAAGAGAGAAGGGATAGCAACAAAGAACAGAAGAGAGAAGGGAGAGCAACAAAGAACAGAAGAGAGAAGGGAGAGCAACAAAGACCAGAAGTAAAAAGGGAGAGCAACAAAGAACAGAAGAAAGAAAGGAGAGCAACAAAGAACAGAAGAAAGAAGGAAGAAAACAGACAAATAAACAGAGCCAAGAGATTAAGAACAAAAGAAAGAGTACAGTGACATTAAGACAGATTTCTGAACCACTCTGGCAACAGACACTTCCAGGGCATCCGTTGTGCACTGATATCAAATCTGATTGCAAAACATAATGGCCATGCATACAAACAAGCAGAATGATAGCACAATACAGGTACTCAAATTTGCATCTTCATCACCTTCAATTAAACGTCTAGAAAAGATGCCGCCACCTTTAATTCACCATTTGATTCAGTTTTCACATTTAGAAGAAAATGACCATTATTCATCAAACAGTTTTTACACAAAGAGAAATATTCTAACAAGCTATGGTCAGCAGTAGCCATAGGTCAACAGAGAAAAGTTTAAAAGGTTCCTTCATAAATTGTGTTTATTGAAGCAATATAAAAACCTTGTAAACTCTCATCTCACTTTGATAAAGTCAATCCAATTCAAATTAAGCTTTCAGTCAATGAATCTGACATAAAAATGATCAATACTGTTATTGTTTATGCTGTATCTTCTATGCAAATCAATATAAAATAAGTATTTCATAACAAAAATATTATATATATATATATATATATATATATATATATATATATATATATATATAATTATGAATCATTCATACAAAAAAAATAATATAGAGGTTAATGATTTAAATGGCAAGAATATAAATTAAACTGCACCGAAATTGAAATATATATATATATATATATATATATATATATATATATATATATATATATATATATAATTGTGTATTTTGGCAGCAATCCTCTTTATATACAAGTTTCATCAAAAACAACTGACAAGATATTATAGATAAGGTTTTTATTTAATTTTTCTTGTGTTTTTATAATTTTCTTTTCTGGGCATAAAATTTTTACCTAATTTATTTAAGAGAAGGACAACTTTGAATTCAAAACCCGTATGTAGCCCTGGTGAAGCACATACTATGAAGCTAATGAAAGGATTGTAGAGTTTACAATGACTATGATCCTGACTGTAGTTAGTGCATGTCATAAATCTTTATTGACCCATAGCTGAGGTAAGAGGTGAATTCATACATTCCCCAAGGGTATTTGCATGTAAGTGAATATAATGAACCCAACTGGAATTGGAACATGGTTCTCTGATTTCCAGTTCTGAGCCATTTACCATTACAGCACCAACACATCCTCATTTACAGTACCTGGTATTCCTAAGCAGTCACCCATCTAGGTACTAACTATGCTCAACATTGCTTAACTTTGGTGATCATACTAGAACTGGTGTTTCCACATGATATGGCAATAAGCCAGCATATTTTGGTAGCCCTAAAATGTGAGGGATGTTCCAAAAGTAAAACCTTCTATTTATTTCCTCAGGGAGAACAATAACACTATTTGACAGAACATATTTTCAGCTACAAAACACCTTTCTTTCCACAGTCATTGTCATTGGATATATATTTTTGCCAGTGATTAACAAGGGCTCTTCATTTCCTGGGCTGGCAGCTGTACAAGGTCACATGAATTTTATTCTCCATAAATTTTCAGCAAGTGTTGATGTACGTCAGCATAAATTTGCAATTTTTTACATATGGAGAAATTCAATGATACACCGCATAGACATTTCATGTCAGATACCATTTTTGCTAGAATATTGCCAAGATGCTCTCAATAACAAGGCAAAAAAAATGTTATTGGCAGAAGAGTCCCATTGTGGGCCAACGTAGTAAAATGAATGATTTATTTTTTATGGCTTATCAAGCCTGTGCATATTATTTTGGAGATAATAATGATTTAGTAATACAAGTATTACTAATTAACCCATAGATGGGGGAAAAGAGGTGGATTCATACATAATCAAAATTTGATAAACAAGAAATTATCATATGGATATAAAGTGGGGGATTAATTCTCACATTGTGGCCACTATAGTTTCTATACATTTATACTCCAGAGAATGTAAATAAATCTAAAAAATATGCCTGTGTAGCTAATCAGTATTTCATTGATTGATTCATTCATTTTTTACAGCTTATCAACACTTTGCTGATTATTTAAAGAATTTGTAAGAATTTTTTTTTTTAGGTAATAAGGATTTAGTGATACAAGTCTTACTAATTAACTCATAGCTGGAGGGAGAAGAGGTGGATTCATATCTTTCCCAAGGATATTTGCATATAAGTGAATACAACAAGCCCAATGAGAATTGGAACTTGGCTCTCTGATTAGGTACTGCCCAGGCTTGACATTGCTTAACTTCAGTGATTGTACAGAAATTGATGTTTCAAGGTAATGTGACCATTAATTTCCATACAATCACTAAAGATAAGCAATGACAAGCCTGCTCAGTATCTACATGGGTGACTGCTTGGGAATACCAGGTGTTGTAAGATTGGGTGTGCAAGTGGTGTAATGGATCGGAACTTTTCAATTGGAGAGCCAAATTCCAATTCCACTTAGGTTTGTTATATTGACGTATGCACAAATATCCTTTGGAAAGGTATGACTCCACTTCTTCTCTCCTCAGTTATGGGTTAATTAGTAAAACTTTATTTACTAAACCATTATTATCTTCAAAATTAAAATTAAGAAAAGCATACAAAATATTTAGATTTTGGCATTAAATGACCCATAGAGATTGATATATTGCTAAAGAAAAATGACCAATAAATCAGGTCACCCTGAAGTATACAGAAAGATCTGTGGTAAGACACATACTACTCTTTTAGAAGTATGGCATACAGGCTTTTGTTCATTGGTGATAAAAATGGATAGCCAAGGTTGATGACTATCTGTAAAAAAAAAATGGTGCTTTGCAACTAAAAACTTGTTCTACACAACTGTTATTTTGTGCCCCTTGTGTCTGTCATAATTTTCATAGAAATAAGTTAAAGGCATTACTTTCAGAGTATCTTTCACATACATGTCTTCTTTATTTGCCATGTCCCCTCAGGATGTAGGTGATCATGGCTCCCCACAATTTCCTTTTTCTTTATAACTCTTAATAAATTTCATTTTTTTTTGTTATTTCTCCTAAACCCTGTTCTTCCATCTATTTACTCTCACTTACTATGTTATATATCATTTTCCTCTGTCTCTCTTGCCTTCAAGAGTATTAGATTTTTCAAGTCCTCTTTCCTCATTATATGCCCTAGGAATTTCAATTGATTCTTCCTGATGTTAAGTATAAATTTCCTTTCTGTTTACATTTTCTCTAAAACGTCATCATTGCTCACAGTCCAAGGTATCCTCAGCATCCTTCTGTAGGACCATGTTAACTTTGCTTCAAGTCTCTTTTCATCTTAGAAGAGATTGTCCAGCATTCAATGCCATATAGGAGAACATTAAAGTATGCTTACCTTTATTTCTAATAAAGTTTTTCTGCTTCTTAATTCTCTGATTAGCTTTTGAAATGTTATTTTGGCTGTCAAAATGCACCTTCAGATTTCAGTATCCTGTTTTCTGTCAAAACACTTTCTAGATATTTAAATTTTTCTTATTTACACTGACAAAATAAGAAAATTGAAACATGCTGAATAGTTTTTCTAATTTACTCAATATCACATGTACTAGCAACACAACTGGAATACAATAAAAGATCTCATATACAGATCTGTATAAAGGTAATTGAATGACAAAAAAAAAAAAAGAGATAAAAAATCTGATGTTACCTGAAAGGACTTCTTCAGATTAATAATGTTTTTATTAATGGAGTCATATATGTAAAGGAAAAGAGGGCACTTTGATTTGGCCTAATGTTTAACAAGCTTGTATCATTAGATCAATTATGACTGAATAGTGAGTTCATTCTCACTAGGTGCACCTTGCTTTCAGCCTTGTGCCACATCTAAGCTATGCTTAGTAAATCACCCATATGCAATGACATGATCATTTCAACATGGTGTAATGGTCAGCAAGCTTACCTTGCTAACCATTAATATTTTTTTTTTGTTTACAGTAAGTTTTACATTGTACAAGGCCTGGGGCCAGTCAAGGTAGAGAATTACATAAAGGGGTGGTTTATATGGATGAGAAAGGAGAAATAATAATTAAGACTTGAACAGGTTAAGATTGATCAGAAACACATCTTGGGCGTCAGTTCCACAGAGCAGTGCTTCACAGGAAGAATTTGTTCAGATGGAACTTACTTCTTACCAATGGAATATAGAAGGAATGTTGGCAGTTTGCTACAATGTAAGTAGCATGGTGGGTCCTAGCCATGATGGTTAGACCTGGTGGAACCAAAGAATGTAGCTCATCCGAGCACTTTCCATTTTTTTATGCTCGAGCAATGAGAGGCTTGCCACATCCCACCTGGGAGAGAGAGGTTGGAGAGTTGTATATAATTTGTCACCCACAAGAACTTGAAAACACTGTAGTGCCTTAATAAACTTAATATCAGTATCAGCCCTTAAACATATTAGCAGTCAGTCAGTTATGTGCCATGCATGATACATCTGGCTTATGTATCTTTTGATACATGACTGACGAGGCATTTGTTTTTTCATTTTTGAATGTAATGTATTCGAAAAAAATTATCTATTTCTCCAATAGTAGCAGTAATCCCCATTTAAGTAACTCTCTTTCTTCTGGGTTTTCCACTTTCGAACTATGTGACATGAGCTTTCCAATAATTTCATAAAAAGGCTGTGAACACTTCACCTAGAAACACACAGTAAGTTGATATTTTCAATGTATTCATGGACATTTATGCAATGCAATTTATTTTAGTAAATTGCATACACAATAAAATGTTCATGAATATAGAAACTCTTGTTTTAAACTTTACTTTTATTAAATTTTGTTTAATAAATGTTATTTTGCATTGCAAATCAATTGGTCTGTTATTTTGTGCATGTACTCTTTTTCACCACCATTATTTCATGTACTATAAAATATTCTTGTAAGAATTCTTACACATTAATTATCAAAATAGCTATCATACTAAAATGCTTTTGAAATCTATCAAGAATGGAAAGTGAAGACTGGGCAGGTCCTGTCCAAATATGACCAAAGTACTCTATTTTTTGCCTGATCTGGCTCTTATAAATTATGATTGAGTAGTGAATTTGATCCTCATTGGGTACTCTATACTTGTGGCTTTGTCACATATTTAAGCTATGCTTAGTAAGTGATTTGTTTTTATGGCTTATGAACCTTTTGTGGTTTATTTAAAGCCAGAACATTTACCATGAACAATTGATGCTTTGAAACAAAACAAATGAAATTCACGAAATCTTTTAAGCATACATTCATCTATTATTTATGAAAATTAGTTAAGTGATGTTTTTCATAAACTTCATATTTCCATTCACATTAAGCTCACATTTATATAATAATATTTATTTGATTTACAATTCTTTTTAAATCCAAACATTACTAATCATCTCCCAACCTTAAAATAATTCCTCCAAAAATCAGTCTCACATTCATAGTCAAGATAAAGAAATAACTGTCTGAGTTAAATAAAAGCATTGATGTATGAGTTTTAATGTATTTTTTTCTTTTGAATGCTATTTGGAAAGATTATAAAATTTTCCTCAGATCCTAAAATTAAGAGGAAGATAAATTTTTTGTTTTTTTTTGCATCCAAACCATGTAAGAACCTCAGTCTTTGTACAGCTCCAATTTGGTGCCATCAGACTTCAGATTGTTCCAGAAATTAAAAGAAGTGTTGAAAGGCTGACATTTTTTTTTATCTGATTTCAAAATTGAAGTCATATAGTTGGAACAAATGTAAACTTTCAAAGAAAAATAAGTGGAAGGTTTGAAAAATGCGTTGCATTAAATGATGATTAATTTTTATAAAATAAACATTTTGAAGAGAAATAATTTTACTTTATTTTAATACCAGTTTCATTATTCTATCTCTATATTATATAAAATGGCAGAATTGTGTGTGTGTGTATATGTATATAGTAATGCATTCAATTTAATTTCACTTTTTATTTAAACCAAAATTTAAATGCACATAAATGTTATAAGGAAGGCCAAGACTGATTTTTGCATTTTTAAATTTATCATAGTGGAAATAATTGATTTTTCATGCTTCTACAGCAAACATCATGTAATTTGCGGTTATTTTTGTAAATCACCAGAGTGAGAGCCTATAGCTGGCTGCCAAAAAGAAAAAAAGATTCTCTTGGCCAGTGTTTTGAAAACAGCTGATATTAAATAAAATATGTTAACTATATTAAAAAAAAAAAAAAAAAAAAATCGATAGGTGCATTCATCAAAACAAAAAAAAAATTTAAATTTTGCATGGCACTTTATTTAAAATTGGCTCATTCGTTAAAAAAAA